AGTTCACGTAATGGGCTTGAGGATAAGTCATTTTATATATTGTAGTTACTTATATTTGTAGTTATATTGTAGTATCAACTTACTCCCCTTTAACTCCTAAATGACATTTTTGTCACTTGGAAGTAACGAGGAATCCAATAAAGAAATAATAAAATTGGGGTGTAATAGGAAAGGCATAACAACAACACTTTATTTAACCATCGGCATGTTTTGTTAGGTAAGTACTGCGCATATGAAACAAAATAGAGTTTTCGGTTTGAGAATGTACTGTTTAAAAATTTATTTGGAAGAACAATTTATTTGCACATACTTAAGTATCTAGATTGCTTTAACAAATTTGTAATTTTTCCATCTCATTTGTAGATTCAAGGGAATATCATTGCTGAGCACGATTTATTTTTATCGGTTTGAATGTTCCTTCCACATTGTCAAACTCGCCAAAAAATCACTCCCATTCTAAATAACAAACGTAATTTTAAAATGGAATGGGATAAATATAACGAATGTATGCATCAGCAACTCTGGAAACACAAAATATTGCAATTCATGTTTTAACTGAGAAATTAAATTGATGAAATAACATGTGTGAATACAGATATACATTTTGATATTTGAATACACCAACAAACAATGTGCATTATAAATCCTTCATTAAAATACCAAAATAACAGTTTACCGAGAGTGCCAATTGACCAGATATAAGAGAAGGCGCAGCTAAAGTTGAAGTTTTCAGTGATGAAACGTGTACACGTTTGGCTGATTCTGTTATGCTTTGCCCTTAAAAATTGTTTTTGACAAATTATTTGACAAAAAGTTTGCATTAATATGTCGTCATTTACATTAACATTTTTCGCAATTTTCTATTTAATTTATTACTACTCGGTCTTTCGTCTGCTGAATATCTTTGCAAGAATTTTGCCATTGAATTTATTTTTATCCTTTTATATCTTTAATCATTAAGTGCGGAAAATATCAAAAATATTGTTTCAATTCATGACATGAATAGTCATTTTTCTCACGGATTACATTCATATACTAGTCGTGTTTATTTTAAATTTATTGTCATTTTTATTGTTTTCTCTGCTGTTACGATTTTTCTTTTATGCTTTCACGATTGATTGATTGATAGTGATCCCGGGCGCATCAACTAATATGGCCATTAGTACCTAAGTGTTGTGCATGTTCTTCCTTGGGAGGTGGCTATTGTTTTAGACGGAGGTTTCCCCAACCAGGTATTTCCCAGAGGGGCACGGCCGCAGCCGGGACAAGCTCTAAGCTCCAGACCGGTCTCCCGGCATGTGTGGCAGTGTAGTACATGTTAGTGTAACGTAAAGGGTAAGGATAGGACAAGGAAGGGGAAGGTAAGATCGCGCGCGGTCCGTGGCCCGTTTCTTAGGGTACTGCTCTGGCATTCGCCTGGTGTTGATTGGGGAAACCACGGGAAAACCACGGGACCTAGCTAGGGTCGAAAATCCTGCTACGGTCGGAACTCGGCCCTAGGACCTCTCGGTCAGAAAGACTGCAGTAACACCAGTTAATGTCCTGGGCCACCACTCCCGGTTTATTATTTTACGAATTACTGCTCGTAATAGTCGAAAACGTCCGTTCCATTTTCATATTCTGAAACTATTATTTCACTTTTAAGTGAAGTTATGCTGTATTTACATTTCAACTGAAGAGAAAGCTTGATAGGTGAGCACCGGTACACGAAACTAATAACAAGTGCTGTGTTTTCTTGTTTGAAACTATTTCGAAATACTCCACTACCGGAGTTGGTGGACGACGTAAATAACTTAATAGGCTTATTTTCGAATTGAAATAGTAATGAAATGTATGTATTACGGAATGAATATTGTTTTTCAATGAATACCAGGAAACTTCTTGCTTTTCATTTTTTCATCGTTCGACGTGGTCATGAGTAATATTTGGGCGCAGTTTCAACTAATCTGTTGTTCGCTACTGCCCGCTCTATTTCTTGTTTTTAAGAGTGTCATAATACTGAGTTATTGACACCCAGTATTACCGAGAAGTACACACAATAATGCTTTGACCAGGTAGGAATTAAAAAAAAACGCTTTTGATGAATATGATATAAATGAAGTATACCATAGATTTTATAATTTTTTTTTGTCATTACAATATGTTCGATAATTTCGAATTTTTTTAGCGAGAAAAGAAAGAAATTACCTGTAGTAATTATCATAACAGACAGTTGTGTTTTTGCAGCATTTCAAATGTTTGTAATGTAAATTACAGAGCAGGTACTGTATATCGTTTTTTCCCTCAACTTTTTAAAACATTTCTCGGATACATGTTGAGTAAAACCAAATGTCTGTAATAATTGAGTTTGCTATTTGTATTTGATAGTGTCGAATATAACCGTGTACGTGGGTATACCTGTATGCGGTTGTCGATTATTAGCATTTAGTAAGGAAATAGTGCCTGAAGTTACAGTAGTTGTGGTTCAGTGGAGGAGTGGGTTCCCTGGCAGCGGCTTTTACGTAAGGTCTTACCACGGAGAGGGCTGAGGCCCTTACGACAGAAGTTGGCAGACGAGACGAGACGAGACGAGACGAGACGAGACGAGACGAGACGCGGCAGACGGCAGCGCAGGGCGGCGTCCAGGCGGATCTGCGGCGATCCCGCCCCGCCGCAGTCATCCTCCAGTTAATCTTATTGATGGCTCCGTCGCGACTCGCCCTCCCTTGTTATGGCGCCATCGACACGCGGCTTGAGTTATGGCGCGGTGCGTGTCGGGGCAGGGATCTCCAAACGCTTTGAGCGCGGGACAACATGAAATATTCTGGAGTTCGTTGCGGTTCACGAGTAAATTCTTATAAGTACCAAACATGAGAAATTTAATTTGATTAAAGAGATACTGACTAATGTAAATTGATCTAACTCGTTTAGAGTCATAACGAATGTATTTAAAGCGTTCGTTTCATAATATTTTATGATGTCTCTAATGAAATAAATAATTAATGAGATTCCTTAAAAATGATTTTATTCCTTGAATTGAACTAATATATTTACTTATACAGTGGAGAGTATTTTATTATTTGTCAAAAACCTGTCAAGAGTGATCTCAACAGTAGTTATTATTTTTGTAACATAGTAATTACTTCAGTTTACACTTTTATAACAATTTGTTTTTTATGAAATAACCGTAGATAGAGATGGCGTAGCCTACACGTGACTGTCGTTTGGAGATCCCTGGTCTAGTGCATCCAACATCCTGCGTTTTACGAGTCTTGTTAATCAGGACGAGACTTCCGCCCGTTGAGAGTACTTAAAGTTTCGGACCGCCTTGTATCCCGAAGTTCCGTTTTTTGCAGGTCCTTTGTGGTTTCATAAACAGCATAACACTTCGAATGGGTTGGGCTCTTTTACGATGTTATGAAAGGACATTCGACCCTTATACTCGAATAGCCCAGGAAATCCGTCTCTTCTTTTGTGGCGGAATGGACAGTGGCATCGTTGCTCTTCTCCTTTGCTGTGGGTTATGAAGAAAAAAAAACTATTTATTTGTTATATGCGAAGAAGCCTTGCCGTTTTCAGCATCCGTCTTGGAAGTTCCTGTTTTAGAATTGCCGCCGAATAAAAATGTTGAAATAAAATCGTTATTGGAACATACGTAAAAAAATATATTTTATGGTGGAAATGGCACACAGAATTGATTTGCGTGCATGTGCAGTTCTAATGCGTTTTGCTTTTTCGATGAAGTGTACACTAGCGTGGTTCTCATTTTCCAATTTTTCCAAATATTCTCCTTCTCCTCTTTCGTTCCAGTCAACATGAAAATAATTCTTGCACAATTTTAGCTCAATGTGACAACCCAAAGCGACCCCTGTCGAGAAGTTTTGAATGTTTGCCGTGTAAATTTTAATGGGCTGTTTTTAATTTCTATTGTTAATTGCATTTACACTTAGATAAACTCAAGCCTTCCGTTTTTGTGTTAATTGTAATGCTATAGTAGGTAAACATTATTATTATTATTATTATTATTATTATTATTATTATTATTATTATTATTATTATTATTACCTGATATTACTTACCTATTACATCTTCTATCTTTACATTATCCTATTACTCCTATTACATCTACCTATGTTTAAGGCGGACAGGGTTCATTTTTTCTGTCTTGAACATTATTCCGTCTTATTGAGGTGCAGAGCATTGAACTGCACTAGGAAGGAATCTTTGCATTCTGTAATTAAATGCATCCCTATACAATTCTTTACATACTTGCTTTGTAGTAGATGGATGGCAAAAGCTAAATATGTATTAAAATATATATTTTTCTATGTCAATTTGAGTTGTCATAGGGAGAATAGCTTTGATAAGAATATTGTATTTCTTGCTAGAGTGGACGTCCGACCCTGGTTTCTGTAATCAGAAGTAATTAGGGCCCCACAATGTGATTTCCTATTCATGGATTATATTGACAATTCCCGAAACTGTGGCTCTGTCCTTGTCTGATGACAGTGTTCCAGAGGAGGTTAAGGCAAAAATGCCTCAAGTTATACTGGATGCAAACAAACGTGAAGAAGAGGCAGAAGAAAAAAAATCAACCGGAAAGATACATTCTGCATCAAAATAACCATTCTTTCTTGACAAGCATCTAGTTTTCTGACTCCTGGAATAAAATCTTTATTCGCGATATATTATCAGAACCAATTTTCTCGATAATGATGGAAAAATTATCCTTGTTACAAAAGTGGACTTAAAAAATGACAATTATTGTGAATTACAATATCAAAAGGAATGTCAAACTAATTGAGGAGTATAATAACATCGTCACAAACTAACAAACAATTTGATTTACAGATCGTTGCTGTAGATCTTAAGAAATACCCAACTGCTACTGAATCTTCTCTTAGGAAAAATAATGTTCAGTATTCGTTTGTTCAAATAGTGCTTCGATTAAACATAAAATGCTGTTGTAAATAAACTGCTTCTCGT